GTGTGTGTGTGTTTTGTTATATATATATATATATATATATATCTACATATATACATACACACACACATACATTATATATATATATATATATATATATTGTAGCGCCTTGCTGACCACATCTCACACAAAACTTACGGTACACGTACAATGCAGGAGCCCTGGAGTGATAGTCAGTGCCAATATACCGAACTTTGAGGCCATCAGCCGAGATGGGCGATTGACAGTTACTATCCAGAACACGGGCACACTTCTGTCAGACTACAACGTATGTGTGTAACTATAACGTGCGTGTTTATTTATACCTTACGTGTGTATATATGCGTATATGTATATATTTACAAAGTATTTGTGTGAATACAACGTATGCGTGTAATTACAACTTATGTGTGTAACTATAACGCACGTGTGTATTTATAACGTATGTATATATATGAGTGTAATTTAAACCAACTTATGTGTGCAGCTATAATGTACGTGTGTAATTACAACGTGTGTGCTTATGGACCTACAGTGTTGAACGGATATTTATGAGAATCGAACACACATTTTCTTGGATGTAGCTCTATACATATGCATGGATATACGTCATGCTCGGCACAAATAAGAAGTGATTAACTGTCTATAGGCTAGCAGAATCTATATGCGCTATCCGACCCTAAGTTCCACCAATCACAACCATTTTAAGTTAAAATCTATTCATAACTCTCTTGCCCCAGGTTGTGGTACTATGCACGTCTGGTATACTGCCCATCAGTCAGCAGCTGCGCACTGTGGCCTCCAATGCACTATCCGATCTGCAGTTCCAGATTTCCTCTGTGATCGATGAGTCTGTGGCACATGAGTGCACAGGTATGTATAATTCTGTGTATGAGTCGGTAAAATCATGTGTACAGGTAGGTATAATCCTGTGTATAGGTCGGTATAATCCTGTGTACAGGTAGGTATAAAGCTGTGTACAGGTAGGTATAATCCTGTGTACAGATGGGTATAATCCTGTACACAAGTAGGTATAATCCTGTGTACAGGTAGGTATAATCCTGTGTATAGGTAGGTATAATCCTGTGAACAAGTAGGTGTAATCCTGTGTACTAGAACCCACAATATACCTACATCCATCTCGCAATCTACCTACTATACATCTCACATTCTCCCTACCATTTAAAAGGACGATCAATCCACAATCTACCTACATCCAAACCACAATCTACCTACACCCATCTCACAATCTACCTACTATTTACACAGTGAGTTGCTTGTCCCATTTACACAGTGAGTTGCTTGTCTCATCTACACTCCGCACCCACTCTCCGTCCACCCCAACAGTTGAGCTTGTGAGCAGTCAGTTCAAGCTGTTGGATTCGCGCGTGGTGGGCTTTTCGACTGAGAAAACTGAAGAGACCGACGGCACACAAGGAGGCGAAGCACCCAGTACTAGTCCCAGCGATGAGAGCTTCTTTGGCGACGGCTCCTTCTTCGATTCGTTCTTGTAAGTGTACGATTGATTGTGGGATGTCTTTGTTCGTGAGGGAAGTATGTAGAGCAATATACAATACCAATA